TAAAAATAAATAAAAAGACTGTTAAGATTTTAGTAGAGATAGTGTTTGGGAAGTACTCCCATCTTAACAACATTAATATAATATAATTACTATTTAAGTTTTCCAATCCTTGAATACAAGGTATCTTTCCCTTTATTTAGGTCTTCTTTAATTTATTTTAGCAATACTTTATAGTTTTCCGTGTACAAGTTATTTCACTTTTTAATGTAGGCAATAAGCTACAGAGGTATTAGTGCCTGCGGCTGTGTTGCCAGTGCAAGTCACAGGCGTTTTCACGTCGTGCTGCAGTTGTTGCCAAGATCTTGGGATAGTGTTTACACTCATTGGCCCTTTGAAATCAGTCTTTATAAGATTTTGTTGTTTAGTGTGTCAATAAAGAAATATGTATATATTATTATATCATAAATTTATATTTTGCAACATTTTCATAATAGTATTTCAGTATAATTAGTTTTCTTTGCAAGCCTATGTATAGTGTTTTATGCGTTTAAAACATCATTCTGAGAAGGATTTGTGGCTTCACTAGGGTGCCCAAGCGGTCAGCATAAATATGGCAGAACCCTGCACCAGGCTTCCCCTACCTGCAGCTCTGGAGCCCTCACTCACGGCCCCTCTCCTGCCGGCCGCGTGATGCTCCAGCCACACTGGCCCAGCACGCCGTGTTTTCTGGCATCTCAGGCCTTTGGCACAAACCCCTTCTCCCTCTTGGACTCCCTCTTCCCTTGCTTCCCCGATGAGCTCCTCCTCCTTTGGGACCCGATGCCCCTCTCAGCAGCCTTGCCGAGCACGGTTAGGGACCCGCTCTGCGTTCTTGCCCTGGGTGGCGAAGACCAGGGGGACGCCATAGGACCACACAGCCCTGTAGGCTTCCCGGCCGGCTCCCGGGAGGCGCACCGCGAGTGCGAATGTCCACTGGCCACTTGGGGTTCCCCGAGACGGAGGACAGCAGGGCCGTCGTGGCCTTTCTTCGGTGGAGAGAATTATGGCAGTCTTGTCTAAAGACGGATACACTCCAGCCTGTCTTTATTACAGATTCATTATCATTATAGTATTTGTTCCTTCTGATTCTGAAACAGAATTAAAATCAAAGCATGTCTCTGGATTCCTGCAAGCGTGGCAGGCTGGGCACTGGGCCTGCTGCGCCTGGCAGAGACGCGGGCCCTGGAACGCCACTCTCCCTGCCAGGGCCCTGGCTGGCCGGCCCCTCATCCCACAGGCCCACCCCAGGCCGGCGCAGGGGCCAGGCACTGTCAGCCTCAGCTTCCTGGGCCTGGGGCAGTGGACGGAAGAGCCGCCCTGGGTCCCATCTCCTTCCAGGTGGGTTGTTTGATTAAGAAATGGCTTCATTTAAGCAAAGCCCTCACCCAGGCAGCTGGCACCTCCTGCAGACTAAACACCTGCTCTGTTTGGTGTATAGACGTTATTCTGGGTTGGCTCTAGGAACCCTCGTTAGGAGAGAGGTTACTGCCAACTGGATTCCTCCACTCACTCACTCACTCACTCACTCACTGCACAGGCAGGAGGCATCTTCCTTGTGCCAGATGTGTGACACAGCCCTGTCCTCAGGGGCCCCGTTTGTCGGGAGATGAGCTTAAAAGGAGAGTCTGAAGTCAGGGTGTGCAAGTATCCCCCTGAAACCTGCGGGGAAGACTCCCTCCTAGTCTCTGGGGGTGGCTGGCCAGCGTGGCCAGCGTGGCCTGCGTGCTGTGTGCCATCCTCCACCTTCACGTGGCCTTGCCCTTGCTCGCCTGCTGGTCTCTGCGTCCCAACTTCCCCCTTGCATAAAGACACGGCCCCTGGATGGGATGAGGGCCCCTTGTGACCTCATCTAAGCTCAGTTACATTTGCAAAGAGCCCGTTTCCAAATCAGGTCCCACTCACAGGTCCGGGGTGCATGTCGTCGTATCTTTCCGAGGGAGACGGGAGGGCCCCCAGCAGGGCCGGGCGTGTGCATGACCCTTGGTCTTTGTCATTCTCCCGATAGGTGTGTCAGGGCGGGAGGCACTGTCCCATGCAGAGAGGCCAGGCCACCTGCTCCAGGACACACAGTTGCAGCTTGCAGAGCCAGGTTTCAGCTCTTAGCCAGTTGGGGATCTTTCTAGAAGGGCCTATGGTCACCATGGGGGGATGCCATGCCACAGAGTGGCCAAGGAGAGGCCAGCCCCGGAGTCTGCACAGGTCTGGGGAGGACAGCCTGCAGGGGAGGGCTTGTCCCCTCGACTGTCCCCAGGACGGTCGTGTTCTCTTCCTCGGTTCTGTGCGCTCCTCAGCCGTGAGGCCGGGACCTGGAGGGAAGGCCCAGGCCGGGCTGAGGAGGACACCTGAGGAAGCGGCTTCCCCACAGCCTGGGGAGGGGTCACCCAAACATGGACGTGTGGGGCGGGAGCCAAGCACGGGCGGAGGGTTGCCCAGTCTCTCCGAGGACTCCACTCGTGTCCTAGCAGGTGTGTCAGCTGTGGCGTGGCAGGGACCTCTTCCGAGAGTGGCGTTTTCACAGCGCAGGGCAGAGCGCACAGGGTCACCAGGGACCCGGTGACACTGAACCCAGTCCTCCCCAGGGACCCCAGCGAGGCAGGCCCGCTGAGTAGACTGGGGAAAGGCCAGCAGGGTCCCTGGCAAGGTGGGTTTGAGCGAGGCAGTGGCCCGGTGGGCGTGGGGCAGCGCAGCTGGCGCAGAGGGTTGAGAGCCCGGCTCTGCCACCGGCCAGCTGTGTGGCTGGGCCAGCGAGCGCCGAGAGCAGTGACGCTGCTCCCTGACGCTCCGGTGCCCAGGCACTGTCCTCGGCGTCCTGGGGCTGCGCTGGCTCCGGGGCCCTCCCACCGCCCTTTCACAGGCGGGAGCCGGGCCTGGCACCAGGCGGAGAGCAAGAGCCGCAGGGTCTGTGCTCCTGCCGACCTCCACTGCAGTCTGTCCTGAGCCCCAGGCGTTGCCAGGGCCTGAGGCTGCCGCTGACGGGCCCTGCCCAGCGTGCTCCTGCGACGGCTGCCCCTTCTTGCTCTGGCAAACTCTGCCGTCCTTCGTCTCAGCTGCCCCAGGTGCAGGTGCTGGTGTGCTTGCCCGTGCGCCGTGGCCGCCGTGCCCTGGAACGCAGCCCTGGCTCCACCCCGTGTCCCACATCAGGCACAGGCCCTGTGGGCAATACAGGTTGTCCAGGCAGACTGGAGTCTCTCTCCGTTGGGGACGGTGGTGGCCTGGGAAGGGCTGGCTGACTTGGTGAGGGGACAGTCCCAGTGAAGGGTCACAGAGGCTGGGCCGGGATGGGGATGGAGGCAAGGGAGGTGACCAAGAAACCAGCAGGACTTAGAGACATAGGAAGGGCCTCCTCCGAGGTGGCGGGGTTGTCTGGCTGCCTGAGTGAGGGACACAGTGGAGACAGGTGTCACTCAGGCTGTAGTGGATGTGAGCTGGGGGAGGAAGGTCTAGCGATGGCTTGTGGCTTGTGGCAAGTGCAGGTGGTGGCTGTGCAGGGAGGCGGGAGGGAGCAGCCTGCTGCCCTAGTCCTGCCCTGGGGCGCTTGGCGAGAGTGCTGGGCACCGGGAGTTGGCTGCACAGTGGCCAGGAAACTGATGACAGAGAGGCCACATCCCTCAGCCCTGAGCTACCCCATCTGGCTGGCCCTGTGGCCTGGGCTCCCGGTAGCCAAGACGCAGGCTCGGGACAATTCTGAATGCTGCAGAGGCAGAGCGCAGGATGCGGGGGCAGAGCACTGACCAGCTGTCGCAACCAGCACGACTCTCTATGGGCGTTGGTTGTCCCAGGACAGTGGCTCAGAGAGGCTCTAGGTTTCCAGGGCAGTGCAGCGGGTGAGCTGCGGGGGCTCAGGTGCCTGAGCTGCTTGCAGGGGTGCGTGGGGCTCCAAAGAGAAGGAGAGTCATCTGGGGACCTCAGTGGTCCCAGCTGGTGGCCTCCTGTCTTCCGGGTGACCGTGCTTTGTGGCTTGCAGTGCACTCCCTCACTCACGTCTCCTGTCTCCCAGGATCTGGTGTCGCAGGGGCTCTTGTTCTCCTTTCACAGGTGGCCTGAGCCCAGGTCCTGAGCAGGGCCGGTGCACAGCAGACCAGCATGGGGGCCTCAGCCTCAGGACGCCACGCCTCTCTGTGTGGCGGGGAAGGGCCCAGCAGCCCTGTGGCTCCAGGCCGCCGGGTGGGCAGGTGGAAGCCACGTTGCGGAGCCCTGCCGCACGCTGGTGCCCAGCGCCCCGGGACCTGGCCTGTTTCCTTCCCACTGTCCAGGGAACCTCGTAGCTGCCCCTCTGCTTACCTGGGCTGGGGCAGGGCCACCTGTGTGCCCTCTTATTAGCCTTGGGACATGCTGTCGCCCGCCAGCCTCCTGGCAGCTGGGTGGGCACCTTCCGGGTCCAGAGTCAGCGTCACCTTGTGGCTCTTGCCTGTGCCCACCAGGGGGCAGGGCCCCGCCCCGTGCGGCCGCACGTGCTTGCTCCCATTCTCTGCAAACGCTTCACGAGCTCCTGCCGCCCTGTCAGGCGAGAGTGGCACTGGGCACAGCACAGTGAAGAAAACCGAGTCCCTGTCCTCGGGACGCTAGCTCAGCACACATACACAGGAAGCTGCAGAGGGCGGCGGTGGCGGGTCGCAGAGGCTCTGTCTTTCCTGCCTGGTTGGTGTCCGTGTGGCTCTGCGTCCCAGCACCGGCCGGGCCGCGTCGTCGCTCGGGGACGGCAGAGCAGCACCAGGCCCTGCTCCAGTCGTGCCTGAGACTGGGCACCTCATACCTGCACCCCGAGCTCTGTAAGCAGCTGGAATACTAACAGTAACTAATTTAAAATGAAGGTGAAACATGGCTGTGGTGAAAAATTAAAATGCTACAAAAAGTTGCCCAGTGAAAAGTAATTCCCCTGACCTCCAGTCCCCAGCTGTCCTCCCCAGCTTCTCGGTGGCTTTTCCAGAGACAGTCTGCACATGCCGGGACGAGTGTGCGTGGTGTGCACGTCTGTTCTGCCGCCTTCCCTGCCGTCCCTGACGCCTCTGCTCTGCCTGCAGGTCTCCATGCTGGTCCTCTTTGCGCTGGCCTTCCTCACCTGTGTCGTCTTCCTGGTCGTCTATAAGGTGTACAAGTATGACCGCGCCTGCCCGGACGGGTTCGTCCTCAAGGTAAGGCTCCATCTCCTTGGAGATCCCGGGACGCTCGGCACCTCCCTGTTCTCGCCCTGAACTCCAGGCCAGTCCTGCCGGCTCTCCCGCTGGCCCAGGGACAGGCACCAGGGCAGCAGGGCCCTGTGCCCTTAGACGGAGACAGGAGTGTCCTGCTCCAGGCCCTGCCTGGAGAGCAGGCTGGGTGGGCGGAGGCATGGCGGACCAGCTGGAAGGGAACTCTTGGACGTGACCCCTGGGACTGACCTCCGCTGCCTGGGCAGGGGCGCTCCTGGAAGGCAGGAATGCCCAGGTGACGTTTCCCTCCCAACACCGTGCTCGGGAGAGGGGAGGGGCCATCTCGGCCACAGGAAAGGGGAGCTGAGGCGCAGCGAGGGGAAGCCCTTGCCCGGCAACCCCGTCTGGGGGCGGGGCGGGGAGCACAGCCGCGCCCCCCTTGCCCCGTGGGAGTGCTCGCTCTGCGCAGACGCCGCAGCCTCCAAGTCCCACGTGGGGCGCAGAAACACACGCAGGACGACAGGATTAAAGAAAGAGAAATACAGGGAGGGAAGGCGAGGCGGAGAGAGGACGAGCCCGGAGGAAGCGTGGTCCAGTCGCTCGGCCACGTGGCAGCCTGAGGAGGCCTCCTGGGGCTGCTTCATGGCAGCCCCGGCGCAGACACCCTTGATGGCACGGCCGCGCCGCGCGCCAGCCTGTGGCCCTCCGCTGTCCGCACAGAGGCCACTGCGCCGGTGCTGGAGACAGCTGTCACGCAACGGCAAGTGTTTGTGTATCTAAGCAAGTCTAAACACAAAAGGACAGCAAAGATACCGCATCCGAGGTAAACAGCGGTGCACCTGGGCCGGGCACTTGCGGCGGGCGGAGCGTGCAGGGCGGGAAGTGGCTGTGCGTGCGGCAGCTCTCTGCGTGGGGCAGCGGCGCGGGCGACCTGCAGACCAGGACGTCGCCGTGCGCCCCTGCTGGCTCTGCAGACACTGCGCATGCAGCCGCGCTCAGTCCTGCAAAAATTTTCCTTCTTCAATAATAAGCTAACCCCAACTGTAACTCTTTTACTTTGTAAACTTTAATTTTCAAAAACTTGTCACCTTGGTAGTAACATTTAGCTTAAAGCACAAACACATTGTACAGCTGTACACAAATATTCTTTATGTCCTTATTCTATGAGCATTTATATTTTTAACTTTATTATTTTTATTTTTTACGTTTTAAACTTTTTTAAAAAAGCTAAGACACAAAAACACACACTAGCCTAGACCTGCCTACGCAGGGTCAGGACCGTCAACTTCACTGTCCTCCACCTCCACGTCGTGCCCCACTGGAAGGTCTCAGGCCCAGGGACACCCTGGAGCTGCCGTCTCCTGTGCTGACGGGGCCTTCTGGGCGCCTCCTGGAGCACCTGCCTGAGGCTGCTTCACGAATATCCCTGCACAACGCAAGGCACACTCTAAAATAACAGCAGAGAGTATGGCACCGTAATGCGTGAGCCAGTGACACAGTACGTTTATGTCGTCATCAAGTGCCGTGCACCAGAACTAACTGCATGATGTGTGCTAGGCTTTTACATGCCTGGCAGAGCAGTGGGTCTGTCACATGAGCACTGCCACAACCACGATGACACGCTGCACCGCCGTGCTGTGATGGCATCGGTGACAGGCATGTCTCGGTTCAGTTGTGAGGAGCTCCATGTGTGACGGGATCGCCCCTGCACGCTCGGCCTGTCACTGACTGAAGTGCCATCATGCAGCCCTAACAGTGTCACCCCTTGCTGTGGACTCCCATTTCCCTGCACTCAGTATCTGGTTCTGAACTTTCCAGAGCCAATGTGATGTGATTATTTCCAGGATTTGGCACTAATTAAAATAAAACAGGAGCAGCCAGCTGTTTCTGGTTCTGAGCACATGTGCAGGCAAGCTTGGTCATCAGTGTCGCTGTGTAGTTGGGTTCGGGCTTTGCTTTCGCCCTTGTGCAGGTGCAGAGCAGAAAAGGCTGGAATGCATGTTCCCCGCCCAGGCCCTTTCCCTCCTTCCGTGCTGTAATGTCCTTCCGGGCTGTGGCGCTTCAGCCCTTCCTTCCTTGGCCAGTGTCCACTGGGTGCCTCCCGAGTGCCAAGCCCCTGCTGCTGTCCTTGGTGCTGGCACGCAGCCGAGCCCACCAGCAACAGCCCGGCCTCGTGAGGCTCCCTTACACTCTCAGACAGGAAGTCAGGCGTCTGTGCAGTGAGGTGGCTGTAAACAGAAGAGAAGGCCAAGGGGCGTGGGCATGCAGCGTAGGGGCTGTCGTTTCTGGAAGGGTGGTTGGTGTTGGAGCAGTCTCATGGGGGGTGAGGGAGGCAGTCTGCAGGTCCCTGGGAAAGGCACCCAAGAGGGGTGCCCACACCCCTTCCCTGGCGTTCCGTTTGGCAAATCCCTGTCCCTGCCCTGGGCTGGGGCTGGAAGAGCTTAATTCTGCTTAGATGCTGAGATGACACCTCTAAGGCAGCCAGTGGCGGGGGAGGGCTCTCAGGGGGGAGGGCTGGAAGAAGAGATCCTTGGCCTGAGTGAAATGCTTTGGTCACTTGGCTTGGACAGGGTGGCAGGTTTATTGCTGTCACACCCAAGTCCAGGCTGGAAGGCATTGCAGGGTCCCTGCAGTCATCCTGGAGCCTCGATTCCCTGTCTCTTGCTCCCCAGCCAAGCCCCAGCATTTTATCCTCTGCTGGTCAGAGCTGGCCAAGAAGGGGGAATAGGATCAGGGGAAGGCAAGGCAGCTCCCCCTTAAGGGCCCAGTCCGGAACCTGCTCCTCTTATATCCACCCGAATCCCACTGGCCAGAAGCGAGCACCAGCCTCACCTGCCACAGGGCAGTCTGGGAAGTGTAGTCTTCAGCTGGGTGCCCGTGCCCTGCTCAGCACTGGGGGAAAATGGTAGTGGAAGACCATTAGCCGTCTCTGCACACTTCCTGTGGGGGCGGATGTGCAGGGTCTCCAAGCTGTGTGGCACGCTGACTGCTGTGCCGTTAGTGCTCTGCCAGCGCCAGCCATAACTGCAGGGCACGGGACAAGCAGCCAGGCCTGGGTGCAGGATCTCAACCTTTTTTGGGTCCTAGATTTCTTACAAGCCAAAGACTGCCATGGATTGCTCTCCTTCTAAAAAGCCCATCCAGCAAAACTTCACATGCAATCTTAGGGGTCCGTGGCCCCCCCAGGTTTTGTGGCTCCCAGCATAGCCCCCATCCCACCCTCTGGAGACTCTGCAGCGGCGACCTGGTGTGCTGCAGGTCACACCTCCTCCCAGGACCTAGGGCTGTGTCGAGGCCTGTTCCCCCTGACGCCAGCCCCTGCATCGGGCTCTAGGTCCTGTATTTAGTCCTGCAGTTATTTCGTCGTCCTGCTCCAAGACTCCTCCGCTCATTGTCCCTTTGCCTTGAGTGCTTCCCAAGTCTCCCACATAAGACCCGCTGGGAACGTGACTGGAAAGAAGACTTTCTCACCTCCCTTCTGTCCTCATTTGAATTGGTTGTTTCTGGACATGTCAGAAGTGTCGCTGTTTTCTAGTAGGTTAAAAATAAATGACAACTAGTGCAACATCTTTAGTGAAGGACTGTCGTGTTATACACACCCTCTTTGAACCCAAGTACCAGTTTGCTGTGCACTTGTTAAAGAGTCTATCCTGTGAATGTTTAATCAAGGCCAGCCTTCTCTTTGGCTGTGCACTCTGAGGGTAGGATCCATGCTTGCTTTTGCACACCATTGTGTTTATTGCTCCAAGCTCAGGGAAGGTGCTCAGTAAATATCTGTTGGCTGTTAATTGGAGACACAGACTGGCATCCCTCCTGCATCAATGCGTGGTCTCAATGGCTTCTTGTCTTTCAGAATACCCAGTGCATTCCAGAAGGCTTGGAGAGCTACTATGCAGAGCAAGACTCCAGTGCCAGGGAGAAATTTTACACGGTCATAAACCACTACAACCTGGCCAAGCAGAGCATCGCGCGCTCGGTGTCGCCCTGGATGTCGGTTCTGTCGGAAGAGAAGCTGTCCGAGCAGGAGACTGAAGCAGCTGAGAAATCTGCTTAGCGGGATGGGCAAGCTCCCTACAATGTGTCACTTGAAGGTAACAGAGGGACTTTGAGGGACATTTCATTAAATACAATTACTGGTAATTTAGAGGTTACTCATTTACGGTGCAATTGCTTCTGTTTGCTAATGCTGCTTTGCAAATAAAGCTTGCTGCCGACCACCCATGGGCATAAAATCAAGTGCATATCGGCATTGCCTAAAGAGCTCTGACTCCACTTTTCATGTTAAGATCTTAATTTAGCTCATTTATTGGGATTTATTGGATGCTGTCAAAAAATAAATTTACACTGGATATGCCAAGGGTTTGGACTTCCGATAAATAATGCATTTTCTGGAATTGATTTTTTTAAGCCACCTTGTTGTCTGCAAACCTTACTCCATAGCTAATCTAGAGTGATCTCTTGTTTTGCTAAGAGCAAGACTCACTTGACGTTTCTTCCCGTCTGCCATTGGCTGGAGCAGTGCCGACTGCCAGGGCGCCGGCAGTGAATGGTGCGATTCTGGAGTGGGAGAGCCTGCGACAAGGCAGCTTGGTGTGGGTGTGCTGCCGCTGCCCCCAGACGCCTCTGTCCCGTCCCTTGGCTCTGGCGTGTTGATAAGGGCGGGGCACTGCTGGGTGGAGATGTGGTGGACTGGTGGAGCTTGAGAGGGAGGGGGCTTGGCAAGAGATGCCCCTGGGCTACGAGGCTGCAGAGCTGCCAGCTCTCCCTGTAGGTGGGCTGTCCGCTCTGGGACGTGCCCAACAGGAAGCCCCGCTGGCCCTTTCGTTCACTTCTGTTATGAATAAATTTGCAACAACAGCCTTGTTAGCAAGTAAGTTTTTAAAAAATTAGCTGGGAAGAGTGAAAATGTAATTGCTGGTAAGCCAGGGCTAGTTTAATTTTTATTTTGTGAAACAGATCTAACTCCCTTGAGGTGAGAACCAGGCAGGAAAGGCGAGGGGAGGGCTGGTGTGGCACCGTGCAAATGCAATGATGACATTTCAACTCATAACCTTTGTACGAAAATTATGTTTCCATTTGAATCTTGACATTAAAGTATGTTTACAAAATTGCCAGTTAGATAAACTAAGTGTGTAAGATAATTAAATACAAAAAAGACATTCACAGCCGTTTCTTCCATGTTATTTGAATGTGTTGTTTCTGGTGGACATGTCAGAAGTTTCACTGTTTTTTCAGTAGCTCAGAAATAAATGACAAGTAGTGCGGATTTGTTGTGAACGAGCCTGGTGATCATGGTCAACTCCACAACTGTTGTCTGAAAAGTGCTCCCAACACATGAGATGGAGCTTATTACCAAGGGTGTTTGAAACGAAGACCAGGACCTTGACATAGTGACTGTGCATCACAGAGGCAGGTGCCACAAAGGACGTGGCTAAGCCGTGGGAAATGCCTAAGGAATAATAAATAAAGGCCAAAACCTTCCCTGCCTAAATATAAACAAGCAAAGCCCATGTAAGCACAGGTCAAAGGCAAACCCCATTTGTATTTTCTCGTAGACATGTACTTTGTTGACTGTAAATTCACTCACATGTAACCTCTGACATTTCACTCTGTGCAAATAAAGAACACGAGGACACCTGTGCTGCCCAGTGGACTGTCTGTACACTCACACACTGCCAGGAGCGGTGCCAATGACCTCACGCCCGAGTGGACACCAGGGCGCTTCCTGCACAGCTGCGTCCAGATGTCTCAAGCTTTCAATCACAACTAGGTGTTCTTGTTCACACTTCCTAGGGGTCAGGTGGGCGGGCATGAGAGCAGCAGCCCCATTCTTCTGCAGTCCACTTCCTTATCTGAACAAAACCTCCTTGGACCCAATGGCAGGAAACCAGGCCTCCCACACCCCTGCCCACCTTGTGGGCTGCACCCTTCGGGAGGGCTGGAGTTTGCCCGCACTTCCTCCCTGTCGTGAGGTGGGTGGGCGTCCACTGACCTTCTCAGCTTAGACTCACTGACGATCCACGAAGTGGCTGTAATTGTATTTATTAGATTAACAAGGCAAATGTAAACTTTCTGTGATACAATGAGTCTGTGTATTGGTTGACTCAGGCAGACAAGAAGCCACAAGGAAACAAAGAAGTAATAATTTGTGGAGAGACGTTATTAACCATGTTCTTCCCTGAAGCTACGGGGACAGGAAAGGTTTCTTTTGAGCCCTGAGACACTCTGGGGATCTTGAGGCCTACTGTGCCCCTCTACTGCAGCAAGCCCCTGCCACGGCGGCCTCACGTTTAGGTGCTGTTGATAACCAGCTCTCCCTATTCAGTCTGTCTCGCCTCGTGGCTACACAGACCACTCTCCTCTCATGCGCACCACTTTCTGTTTCAGCTGCTAAACAGGCTCAGCACCACTGGTTGGGCACCCTTTTGTGGGAGTACATATGTCTGTCTCAACCTCCTCTTCCTCAAATGGCTCCGTGGTAAAATCTGGTCACCACCACACTCCAATGCCGGAGACACAGGAGAGCTCAGTGTGTCAGCGTGTCCCACGCTAGCTGTCATACCAGTCAAGGAAGAGCAAGGAGAAGGAGCACATCACAAGGAAGAAGAGGATCCACACACGGAAGCCAGCGTTGTTTTTAATGGCCTGGGCAGGGACAGGAGCACAGGTGTTTTTATCAACAGGATTTTGGTTTTAAAAGCCCCCAAATGCTCTATTCTTACCATGTCCTCTCCCAGTTGAGGCTATAGCTGTATGTGTTGCTCAATCCTACACTTACCTTAATAGATGACTTAATTATTAAGCAAAACCAAATGGTGAGTTTAAAATCTATCAGGAGACAAATGGGTTCTATTTTCCTTGCTGTTTAGGACCTCCATAATTTGGAGGTCCTACGCAATTCTCCCAGGAAACACAACACTCCAGAAATCACTCACTTCTGTCCCAGGCTTAACGGCTCAGAGCAGAGTATGGCCCTGGGCTTTGCGTTTTCTAATAATGCAAGGTCACTGGTGACCTGACCCTGAGGACTGAGCTCTGGAGACAGAGTCCAGTCAACAGAGATGGCCTGTGGTATCCACCATAAGCAACAGACAGTCTCTGGCCTCTTGCGGGGGGGCCAAAAAGTTTGTCCAGTGGTGTCCACCCCTGGATTTAGGGAGCTGGCCTGACCCTTGCCAAGAGTACCCTCACTGGGCCCAGATTACACCCTGAAGCATGATGAGCCTTTGCTTCTCAACAGTAGCTGAAGTTGGACCAGTGGGTCTCACGAACACATGTGGCTTCGCTGGGACTGCCCCTGACCTCAGTTGTGTGATTGGCCCTGTGAACTCTGCTAGTGAGACTAATGCTACTGCTAAGACCCAGGACACCCAGAGAGTACCCACCTCTCTTATGTCTTCATTGCCCTCCTTGATGTTCTCAGTCGCCCCTACAACTAACTGGTGAATGCTGTCAATCTCGGCTTCCTGTTGAAGAAAGGAGTGTCAGCTAAACACAGGTTGACAACCCTTATCTGAAACACAAAATGTTCCAATGAGCATTTCCTTTGAGTGACACATCGGAACTCAAAACGTTTCAGATTTTAGAGCATTTAGGATCTCGGGTTTCTAGATTAGGGACATTCGACCTGCCCCCTACCCCCAGCACACATCAGGATACAAACAGCAGCTGCCCCTTTTCCTAAGAGCCAGGGCTTACCTGCACAGCACCTTGAGAAGTAGCTTTCACCCCTTTTTTTATAAAAGGGAAACTCAAGGCTCAGAGAAGTTTACAAACTTGCCCAAAGTCACGCAGCAACTAAGTGGCAGGACTGGGATGAGACTCCCACCTTGCTGGACCCCAGTGCCTGTACTCCTTCCACCCCACCTGCCATCTCCTGTGTCACTGGCCTGATGGCAAGGACAAAAACAAAGTTGCTGTTTGTGGGGCAGCCACCACATGCCAGGGGCTTTCCCTGCAGTCTCTCATTTATTCTTTCTGAAGTCCACAGAAGCAAGCTTCAAAACCTTTGTGCTTCCAAACACACATGCTAGCTTCAAAAATAGTGCTTTGTGTTTTACTATTACATCTCTAAAAAATAGGCTAAAATTGAAAAATCAAAATAGGATTTTTTGCTTGCAGAAAATACAAGCCCCTGTATTACTCCACAGCCTTGGAAAGCTTGAGAAGGGCGGGCCTGACACACGGGCGCTGGCCGGGGCGCCCTCGCCACCCTGCAGGAGTGTGGCCCACCGGGATGGCTGCAGAGGCAGGAGCGCCTGTCTCCCTCTCCCTTTGGCAGTGGCAAAAGGAAGCTATGCTGTATATGCTGCATGTACACTGTGGCTTCCGGACAGGTTGGAGAGGAATGGACACTAGCGTGGCCTTTTGGAGAAACCTGACTGATACAACACCACAGGGAAAAAAGCTACCTTTGGCCACCTTGTTCCCAGAGATCAATATTACTGGCATGGCTTTGCTCTATAATCACACCTTTTTTTTTTTTTTTTTTTTTTGGAGAGTCTCACTTTGTTGCCCAGGCTAGAGTGAGTGCCGTGGTGTCAGCCTGGCTCACAGCAACCTCAATCTCCGGGGCTCAGCGATCCTCCTGCCTCAGCCTCCCGAGTAGCTGGGACTACAGGCATGCGCCACCATGCCCGGCTAATTTTTTGTATATATATTTTTAGTTGGTCAATTAATTTATTTCTATTTTTGGTAGAGACAGGGTCTCGCTCAGGCTGGTTTCGAACTCCTGACCTTGAGCAATCCGCCCGCCTCGGCCTCCCAAAGTGCTAGGATTACAGGCGTGAGCCACCACGCCCGGCCTAATCACACCTTTTTAAAGAATCTCAAAGTGGGGTCTGAGTGACCACTGCCAGTGTTCCCATAAGAGTACTGATATGAACCACTATGCAAAACTGGCGGAAAAGATAAGACAGATACCGGTTCCTTAGGTCTTAGAAGCTCCGGAGAAGCCAAGGCAAGGCTCTGGCCTGTGCTGTGCACACCCCTGCCAGGGAAGCGCTGGGGTGCTCTGAGGCAGGCAGCGCCCCAGCAGCTCTCTCCCATGCACCTGGCCTGGTCTGTCCCAGCACTCTGGAGCAGCTACTTACAAACCACAACCACCGAGCTAATAGCAGCTGGTCCTCCTCGGTAGCTGGGCTGACTCTAGGAACCTTAGAAATGGTACAATTCTGATTTCTAGTGCTTTTCAGTACATGTAAGATACACCGTAGCAACGTTCCCTTTGCCCGTGGCCACCGGTTGCACTGATAAGACAGGACCCTGCCTGTATTTGTCACGGCCACACCTAGAAATAACAGCAGTCCACACGTTAGGAGCCTGCCACAGGCCAAGTGTGTGCCAGGCAACTTCTTACTCACTGGCTCTGACGACGAGGTGGGTGACTTGAGCCCTGTTTTACAGAGAGGGACAGGGCGCAGGGCCGCAGTCCAGGTCTAACTCCGCCAGGACCCTGAGCACCTGCTACCTCTGGACCCAAGCCTGTGTGCTCTGAGAGGAGACGTCTGATCTAACTGTTCTATGTGTAATGAGGCTGAACTGCTGACCGTCAGACTGGAGAGTCTTTACCAAGCCAGCCACCAGGCTCCTCAGTTAAGGCTCAGCGTGCATACGTGTGAGTAGTTCCTTTAAGGCGCTGTTTGAAAGGGCACCTCTTATGAGCCTGAATTTCCAAACTGTTGTTAGACTTAATGTGCCTCATTTACAATGATTTTACTCTGACCGTGTGGTTTAGGAGAGCTGCTTTGTGAATGAAGTTTCTTAAGCCAGGAATCCCTTTAACACGCTGGAGAAAAATGATTTTGTCTTTCAAATCCTTCCACAGTCTTTGGGTGCTGAAAACAAAAGGGTAAATTTCTCAGGTTTTTAAAATTTTTGCCAGTTATTGGCTGGAAGAATTTCAGAACTGTACCAAGAAATAATGTGAACATTCACTAAAGAGAACAAGCCTATCTCCCACGAAGACACCACACATGAGGTGGCATGGTCCGGCACTCTGCGAGGCCCAAATCTTAGCTCCTCGCAGTGCCATACAGTAATCCTGAAGAGTCGCTCCCCTTCCCAGATAGGAAACTGCAGCTCAGAGGGCTCCCCAGCTTACACGAGGGCCTTGTGGTCACCCTGCCTCCCAGGTGCCACCGTGTGCTCTACCACACAGGGTGGCACCTCCCCCTGCACCATCTATGTGCAAAGGCTGCTCTGAGGTGAGGAGACTCTCCCTGAGGAGCCTTGCAATGTGCTCTTGCTGACAACATGCAGCTCTGCTTACAGTCAGGGATCATCAGACGCCTTCAGAAGAAATGTCCTGCGTTCTCAGCACATTCCCCTTTTAAGTGAAAACTCAAAAACTACTTGTTTTTTTACCTGTTGCAAAACCTTTTCCGTGAATATCTCCTGGAGCCTGGAAATTTCAACCACTTTCCCTTCAATTTGCCTTCATAAAAAGAAGAATTGATAGATTACATATTCACTATTAGAACTTGGTAATCTAACTAGAACATTACACATTTCTATAGAGATCATCTCTTCCAAGTGAAGGTGGGAGAGGAGCAGGGGCCATACCATGGCGGGTGGGGGAAGAGGAAGTGGGCAAAGGAAGGTGATCTACTTACTAGTTTGGCTTTTCTGCCTCCC